GGCAGTGGGGATTTTTACCACAGAACAAACTTAACAATTTCTGTTCAGAAGTTTTGCTGTGATGGCTCTTCGCCCTCAGCTTCACAGGAGGTGCTGAAACGTTGCTTCATTTTTTGGTAAAGTCTCTCAAAGGTTTTAGGCTTGCCAGAGTGGTTTGTGTTCACAGGGCTTGACCCTGCTGAAGCTGGATCATATGAACAACTGTTCATGCAGAACATCCCAAGCCACTTCCATGAGTGATTCCCTGCTAGAGCAGCCACCATTCACTGCCAGAGCAGGAAATTTCTGCCAGAGCCAGGTCTCCTCTCCTCCTGGGAGAATGGGTCCTAAACCAGGGCTTCCTGTTAGGGTGTTTTAAAAGGTTTGGAAACAATTGTGTAATCACAGTAATTTACTATATTATCAGTGCTTCAGCCATCTGTTGCAGAAGTCCCAAATTTGGTTTTGTTTTTGCCTCAACCACTCTTATCCCAAAGCTTTCCTTGAAATCCCCCCCAAATCAACCCCCTCAGTACCTCCTTAAGCTGAATGAAATGTTGATTGTGGAGCTGAGGATTCGGGGCTGCCAAGAACTGCTTTCTGACCTTGCCTCGAGCTGCAGGGGCCATGTCTGCACGTGGGACTATGTCCACTGCTCCAGGGACACACAGCCCTGCTCACCTGCGTTTCTGATGTGAGTTGCAGACACCCCAGCCCAGTCCTGCCCTGCTCACGGTGAGTGCAGCCGTGCATTGCTCAGCTCCCGCTCCTCGGCTCTGGGCCGCACACGGGCACTGGGATTTCTGCAGTGACACAACTGACACTGGAGGCGTCACATCGATGCCAGGACCTGAACAAGGGATTTATCCACTTCTTGTCTTTAATTCTCCCAACCCCCTGCAATGCTTTGTGGTTGTTTCTCATGACGCTGAAGAATCAATGCTAATGCTACGTTACTATCAGTGCCGGGGCAGGAAGGTTGTGCTGCTGACAGCTAAGAGTGTTTGTGTGTCTCTTGTAGAAATGGCTGAGCACCACGATGCTGCAGAGATTCTGAGGATAGCGAGAGACCTTGTCTACAAAGTGCAGACACTGATTGAAAACAAATGACCGTGGCCGGACTGTCCTGGGGCCTCGCTGTGAGCCATCAGATGGAGCATTCCTGGCACTGTAATTCCAAATGGAGTTTTAATTGCATCTTCCATGTAATGTAATAAATAGTGAGGAGATTTGTAACAGACTTTTAAAAGCAGAACTTTCCCTTCACCAGATGAGGTTGGTGTTTGATAGTCCTTGTTACACTCACTTTGTATTTCTAGACAAAATCTTTTTGCATTCTCTATTTCCCTCTCTAGAAGACATCTGTCTACATCTCTGTGATGTTAAGAGGTGGGATGGGACATTCCTGAACATTTCTGTTTTGACTTACTGCACCTTTAAAGCCTGGATGCACGTCTTGTGCTCTGCCAGGAGCTTCCATGGAGGCAAGGCCGGATCCAGTGTCGCAGGTGCTCCCTTGGGTCCTCGGAGGAGCACGGTCCTGGACTCACTGCCTTTGCCTTGAACGTGGAAGAGAATGTGTCTGAGCTCGTGTTGCTAAAGCATTTAAGTTTGTATTAAAGTTGATAAGATTCCTAGCTGGGAGAATGGCCTTAAACTAAATAACACAGTTCATGGGAGCAGTGATGAGCTAAAACACCAGTTTAGCCTTGACTGACTGGCTCACACTGCTCAGTCTTTGGGGCCCACACAGACCTGCCTTTATTTTGCTTTGCAAACTGACCTTGCCACCATTCCCAGCTGGCAGGACTGACTCCTGTTGTTCAGGTGAGCAGGTTCAGCCCACAGACAGGTCCCTGCTCGCGTTGGCAGCTCCTGCTCTGTGCTGTGCAGAGCCACGGATTCAGCTCCCACAGTACAGAGTGTCCTCCAGATCACTTACTGCACACTCCTCCTCCTCCTCCTCTTCCTCCCTGCTCTGTGGAGCTTTCTGGGAGGAATCTCTGTGGGATCCTGCGAACACAAACCAGGCGCTGGTGCCCCTGAGCAGGATGAGCCCTTGCCAGGTGAAGCAGCTGGAGTTGCTGCAGGGGCTCTGATCCTGGGCAGCCCCGAGCTGGGGTGTGGGGCTGTCCAGCTGTCCGTGTACCCCTGGATGGTTTGTGCCCGTCCCTCCTGCCGGGCCAGGCGCTGTCCTGGCCGCAGCCGCTGCCCCTCCTGCCCGGGGAGCAGGTCCTGCCCGGGGCTGGGGGGCCTCCTCTTCATCACACTGTGTACAATTCACCTGTGCTCTGCCTGCTGTCCCCAGGCGCATGTTGTTGCCAAGTGTATCTCGGTCAGCCGGGAGGAGGGAGCAGGTTCTTGCTGCAGATTCCATGGATTATGTGACCCTGCTCTTGGAACTTGGGACTTAGCTTAAGCACCTCAAGTATTCAGAAGTGTTCCCCCCTTTGCCATCAGAACCTTTAAAAAAACCCCCAAAACACAACTTTGAATCTGAATTTTTGTGTTCCTGCTTTTTTTTTTTTTTTTTTTTTTTTTTTTTAATCCTTCAGAGCAGCCAGTTACACAGCTGCGTTTCCATGGAATAACTCTGTGTGCTCTTCATGGCATGGTTTGGGCTGGTCCCAGTCAAACTGCCTGCCATGGGCGAGGACACCTTCTCCAGACCAGGTTGCTCAGTTTACATGACTTATATCTGCTCACAGGAGCTTTTAAAAAATCAGATTTCAGCAAGGAGAGGGGGTAGGGATTAAAATTACTGTTTGATGATTCAAATATTGATGGGGAGGATTTGCTGTAGTAACCCTGCTCTGGTTACCCAAGCTGGGGTCACCCTTGTGCTCTGCTGAACCTGAATATGGAAAAGGTCAAGAATGGTCAGCAAAGGGAAAAAATGGACCCAAGTACTGAGCTCAGTAGCCAAGGCCTCCCTTAAACTGGTCTTGCACCATCTGAGGGGAAGGTGAAAAACCCCCCAGGGCAGCAGCACTGGGAGTTACCCCTGAGGGTCTGTGGTGTGCTCTGAGCCCCCCCGAGTTCCAGCTGTGCCAGCCACGGCCCCAACAATGCTTCAGGTGTGTCTGAAGGGTTCAGTTTGCTCACCTGAAAACTGAAATAATTTTTTTTAAGAGAAAACCTCCAACTCCCAGAGCCTGAGGAGTGATGGATGTACAGATAAAACTGCACTATTTTCCTTTGGTACGTTGGGAATGTTCTGTACAGCTGTTTCACACAAACCCAGTTGCGAACTTCACTGTATTTGTTACAACATTCTGTTTGATTGGATTTTATCAATGTCGTGTATTATTTATTTTTGTTGGGAGCAGACTATTCTCTTTATTGCTCAATTATTTATGTTTAAATGTAACATATGAATAAATACTTATCATCAAGGCATCGTTGTGGAGCTCTTTGGGAGCACTGCTCACCCCCAAGGTGATTTCAGGGACAGAACAGGGAGTCCTAAGAACAAGGCTGGGAAGAGAGGGAGATGTAATTAACATTTCTCTGGCAAGCTGCATGGGCTGTAGTGCTAAAGGCAGCAAGTAGGTCACCACCAAGTGGACTCCTGGGGTCCCTTAGATGACTTCAAGGGCAGCTTTAAGTGACACACAGCACTCACCAGCTCCAGCCACGCCCGAGCCAGCCCAGCCCAGGGGCAGAACCAGGCCTATTGCAAGTGTTAAAAAGTTCCATCCTGCAATTTTAGGCCTGATCGTGCTGCAGCTGCATTGAATCCAGCTGGGCTTCCAGGAGAGAGCATCCTCCATCACTCCCGGTCTCCCTTCAAACCTCCTGTGTGTCTGCAGCAGGGACAGTCCCTTCCTCAGTCTCACCTGGCTCCTTTGCTGCTACTGGCAGTTTCTGCAGCAATTTTTCTTTAGGCTGGATAGCTCTGCCTGGAGGTGGGTCCCTGGGGAATAATGGAGTGTTTCCCCATTCCTGTGTAAAAAAAGCCCAACAAATGCAGGGTGGGTGCAGCCATCCCTCAGCCACTGCTCGTTACAGCCGCTAATCAGGTATTTATCCCTATAAACGAGGATCAGCCCTTTATGAAGTGCATCCAAAGACATGTTGGCCTAAATCTTCCAGTGCCCTTTTGTCCTCTGCCTTCACCTGTCTGCGTGGTGTGACTGGGGTGGGCAGGGGACACGAGCACCACAGCGGGGGTTACCGCTGGCTCTTGTCTACAGAACGTTCTTCCTCCTTCTTGTCCCCCACCATTCCCTTTGCAAAGTTCCAGTAGCTTTCAAAGCTGTTATTTAGACCTGTGGTGGTCCCACCCCCTCCCCTGCCCCTCTGCCCCACAGCTGGGTGCAGCTGAGCCCACCTGGGGGGGACCAACCCATCCCCACCTCCCCATCCCCCCTGACCTGCTGCCCCCCAGTGCCACTGGGAGGGTTAGACTTGCCCTGTTCTGGCTGACCAGGCACCACATCCATGTACTGGAGACAAGGGACTGGGAAAACCGGGGACTCCAACTTCAGCATCTGCAGGAGAGAGCAGTTACAGTGAGGCAGCTCTGGCTGGGTTATTCGGCCCATCCCTGGCCCTGCAGATCCCCCACCCACTGTGGAGAACGGACACCCCAACCAGGGTCTGGCTGCCCACGGGGAACAGGACAGTCCCACTATGGTGGTGGGTGCCCAGCACGGTCCCCCAGGAGGGAGGGAGCCTCACCTGACAGCCCCGGGCAGGACGCGGCTCTGAGGGCCGTTAATGGCTCTGGAGGGACCCCATGGCAGGGCTGGGCCTGAGTCCTCCTGGCTCAGCAGGAGAAGGGCAGGAGTCTGAGCACAATTTCCCAAGTTTTTACAGATTCCAGAGGCTGCAAAGTCTTTGCTTCCCCGCAAACGTGATCCAGACACAACCCCTGGCGCTCCAGCCCCTGGATCAGTGACACCCACCTGGAGTGGTCGCGATGGCTCCAGAGGGAGGGAACGCTTTGCTCTCGGAACTGGGAAATCACAAAGTGTGCATCTGCATGCAAAGCACAGGGAGGCAAATGCAGAATCCTGTTTTGGATTTCAGTGCATGTTTATTTTAGTTTTATATTTATTTCAGGCAAGTGCTTATTACATGGATATCATTCATGTTGGATACCTAAATTCTGGAGCATGAAGAGCCAGTATTGTACAGCTGAATAGTAAAAATACAATATGTACAAAATTAGTTGCTTTTTCACATAGCAGATGTATTCCAAACACATAAAAATCTTTACAGTCTAGTTTGTCAATATTCAGTATTTCAGTAAATTGGTAACACAGTGACACGTCCTCACTGTAAACACAGACTGCACCTGCCCAGGTGAGCGCAACACTGGAGCTCCTGTGAGGGGCAGGGGAGGGACGGGGCTCTGGGCCAGCGATGGCAGCAACTGGGCTCACAATCGGCAGCTCCAGTGACACATTCCTAACGCAGGAGCGCAGCAGGATAAAATAAATAAATAAATGCCTTAGCCAGGAGGGAGGGAGGTCACATGCAGTGACAGAGCGGGGGTCCCCGCTCCCACCACGGCTCCTCACCCAGCGATGCCCAGGCTGGGGGCCTGACCAGCCACCAATAAATCGTTGCATGGTGCAGTCAGTCCCTGATTTCTTGCTCTGTCAAGCCCCCCCCACACTTTTGGCTCAGGTTGTTAAGGCGTATCCATAAGGCATTGGCAGCAGGATCCCGCTGGCAGCACACCGGGATCCCGCTGGCAGCACACGGCCCTGGGGCCGGTGGCCAGTGGGGCTCTGGCCGGAGAATTCCCGATGGCCGGCACGGAGCAGCTCCACTGCCAGCAGGGCCGTGCCTGCCACAGGAACACAGACACGGGGACGTTCCTGCCAGCCAGCCAGGGAAAATCCCAGCACAGAAATGGGCTGGGACACTTCCCTGACAGCGAGACCTGGCAGAGGTCCCACCCCCAGCCAGCCCTGGTGGATCTGCATCCCACATCTGTGCTCCTTCATACTCAAATTCCTATTCACAGCACAAGGAAAGGGGTGAAACAACAGGCCTCATCCAGAGCTACAGCAGGACCAGCCACGCAGTCCTGATGAGGAGCACAGAGCCATCCCAGGGCCAGCTGTCACCAAATCCCAGCGCAGAACAGCCCTGTCCCCGTGCCACCGGCACAGGATGGAGGCGAGCGGGGCCTTCCTTTGCCGTTCAGCAGCCCTGCGTGAGGAGTGAGCCAGGCTGGGAACAGCCAAACACAACCTTTGCCAAGACTGTGCCCACCCAGCGCTGGGCTCGGGCTGGTATTTTAATAGTTCAAATTTGAATTATGAAGTTCTGTATAACTGGGACAGAAAGAAGCCATGACTGACTCTATCCACAGCATATTTTCCTTAACTCTAAACACCTGCTCCTAACAACTGATGTTTGACTCAGGAAGGAAATAACCTAAAGACAGTGATACAAACCATTTTAATCTGGCCAAAATGCTAAAAAGGAATGGAAACCAGGCCATAAGTATGAACTTTTTCCTCTCCTCATCCCAATGGCTTTTAGAATCAAAATAATGACCGTTCAAAAAAAAAAGATGCCAAGTCTTGGAGGAGCCTCACCTGCAAGTACTCAGAGCTCACCTTCCCACCAGTTCCAAGAGCTGTATAGCAGGCAGGTCCCAGCTCAGGACAACCACGTATCTAATTAAGCTAATTAAGCAAGTGCCTAGATGCTGACAGGCTGAGACAAAGTCCTGCTCAGGTGAGCAGAGGTCAACTGGTTCATCTGGCCAAGGCCGCTCTCCCCGCTGGGGACACTCGACACGTCACAGAAAGCAAAGGGGCCAAACAAGCACCGGGCAAAGGACGCCTCCCCCTGCCCTCGGCACACAGGGGACCCCAGCGCCCCTTGTACCCACACAGCCCCCACAGTTCTCACGCTTTTTTTTCTTTAAATGCAAAAAACTCCCTCAGGATGCAAACCAGCCCAAGGAGACACAGCCCACATACAAAAAACCAGACACGATAAGCCTTGCATTGCATGTCTACAGGAATCTACCAGGCGTGCGCACGGACAACCACACCGACACCGACACAGCAGCGACACCTCACCTGACCTAAACCACCCAAAGGCATTTTTTTGTTTCTTTTGTTCTTTTGTTACAGAAGGCCACTTTGAAGTAAAACAAAGAAAAATAGACAAGGAGCCCAACAGGTGCAGCAGCCCAGGCTGGCCCCGTTTGTGAGATAAGAAATTAAGAAATGCTCCTCCCTGGACTGTCAGAGAGCAGAAGCCTCCACGAAGGGCTGTTCCCTCTGTCCAGCTCTGCTCAAGAAACCAAAACCTGACCCTGCCACTGGCCAGGAGCCCAGTGGTGACACTGGAGCCCTTCTGGCCTTCAACACCCAGCACTCAGCCCCAGCACGGACAGACACACGGACACTCACCCACACGTGTGCAGAAAAAGGCCCGACAGCAGCAGTTTGGCTCCAGCCCTGATTGCCTGATATGAGAACTGGGTCACCAGCTGCCCCTCCCACCCCGTCCCCCAGAGACACACAACCTGCTGCTTCTTGGATCCCACTCAAGTGACTGCAGAGAACATGGAAAATTGGGTCATTTCCCTTCCTAAGTTAAAATACACAGTTCTGGCTAATTTTTAATGGTGACGTCAGGAGTACATTCCTGTATCTAAAGTGTCAGCATTAAGAGCTCTTTTCAAGAGCATTTTCAAGTAGCAGTTTGGGTTCATTCCCCTCTGCCTGCAGATCCTTGGGAGGTGAGATGGAAAGTGGCTTTGGCAGCCGTGGGGCTCCCGCAGCGCCGCTCCCCAGCTGGGGCAGCACGAGATTTCCCTCTGTCACCTCAGTCACCTGAGGGGTTCTGCTTGCACAGGTCTGCTCAACCTCCAACACACCCGACTGTGCCAGCTGAGCTCCAAGCACAGATCAAGTTTCTGATCGCATTTTGGCTGCCCTCAGTGGGACACAAACCGTGGGGAGTGCGTGGGCTGCAAGGGCATCTGCCCTGGTCTCCACTGACCAACAGGCTCCAAGCCAGGCATGACAGAACAGAAAATCCTCTCAAACTACTATATAGAAAACCCACTTTCTATTGTTTCTGTAGTATGGTTACAAAAACCTAATATTATTCAACAACAGAAAATTTCTTCTAAACTTTGTATTTATTGATTTTTTTTGGGGGGGGACAAATTAGATCTTCTGAATCCCCAAGTGTACATATATATTTATATATAGCTTTCTCCATAGGGAAAACATATATCAAAGGAGGAGAGACATTCTTTAAGTGCCCCTTGTCATACAGTACTGAACAGGACTTCTAAGAGCATCAGTATAAATCTGAAGTTTCTGAGCAGGAATAACAGAGGTGTGGAAAGAAGGATGGGTTGTGGTTGCTCTTCTTCACAGAGAACAGAAAGAAATTTGCTGACTTTAAAAAAAAAAAAAAGAAAACCCCCAAAGAAATGTTTCTGGTAGCCCTGAAAATGGCAGATGAGAATGGGAGGACCCAAGACATCCAAAGCAGCTCATGGGCTGACCAAGGGGGACAGGCTGTTCCTGAAGGGGATCGGACACACAGCATGGCACAACTCCAAGGGGAGAGAAAAACTGGCCAAGATGCAGGACTGGGCTGGGCAGGGCAGGGCAGGGCAGGGCAGGGCCACTCTTCCCTCTAAACCATAAGGGAGTAGAAGATGAGGTCACCCCTTGTCCCTACAACACAGGCCATTCCATAACCCACCACAAAACTCATCTCCCTGGGGCTCTCAGCCCAACTCCTGCACTCAGCCCTGTTCCCAATCCCACTCCTTCTCCTTCAGTAAGGAGATTTTGTTATTTTGTGATGTTAGAACAGTAAAAAAGGGCAGAAAGGCATGTCCTCCCACTCCCAACACTGCTGCAGAAGGCAAAGACACATGGTCCCTCCTGAGAAGGGAGATGACCCTGCTGCAAACACCCGGTCTTGAGTTTCTGACGAGGAGCAACTGACCTGATACCCAACGCTCATCTTCCAAATATTGGCACACAACAGCCTCTCTGGGAAAGCACCTGCATGGACAAGGGATGACCAAACCCTGGCAACTCCAGGAACCTCCCAGTGTTAATGGTGCACTTGGGATGACAACAAATCATCTGCTCAAATGTGGTTTCAGGATAAGAAATCCTTTAAGATTTGTCCATTCTGCAGGAGCTTCCTGGACTCAAGGATGCAAGAAAAAAAATAAAAAAGAGGTAACTGTGGAGCAAGTGGAGCTTCACAGAGTTCATGCAATTCCCAGCCATATCTGCTCAGAAGGCACAATGACCCCTGACCTCTGCAGTCATTTCTCTTGCCTCCAGACCAGTTTCAACCAGGGACGGTATGGAACGGGCAAGTGTTCTCAGTTTAACCCCTGACACTTTTCACACCAGTCCTCAACAAGGCAAAAGTGCTGCTGGAGTCAACATGTCTTTGGGCAGACTATGGACTCTGTTTTCCCAGAGAGGACCTCACCCACACACTGTGCAGCCAGGCAGCGCAGTGAGGTGTGAGCTCTCAGCCCTCCTTACCTACCCCTCTCCCAAAGCTCCTGGGCAGATGCTGGGACCACCGTCCCATCCTGTCCCAAGGAAAACAGTCACAGGCTACAGCAGGAATTTTGCCTGCAGTAAGGACTGTGGAACACTTTTTTTAAAAAGAGGAAGACAGAATGGAGATCATTCACAGCAGTAACTACACACACGGTGCAAGGACCAGAACGTCCAACCAGCAACAAAACACATGCCTAAGCAGCCTCCCGGGCAGGCTGGCAGGTACCAGCAGAGCATTCCTCCTCTCCTGGCTCTGCAGGACTTGCCACTGACCTCAGAGAGGTCCTGCCCCTCTCACCAGGAAGGGGAAACAGGAGGGTCCCAAAGGACGAGGGTTCTTTGGTGCACGTCTCACTGCCAGGCACGAGCTCTCACACTGATCTCCTGCAGCAAACCCTTATCCTGCAAAACGAGAGACTGTTTACCTCCCAGAAAGGAACAAAGCTGCCAAAGCTGCCTGCACTCTGGAAAGGAACCACATCCACATTTATCCCTTTCTGAACCCACTGACCCCCACAGCAAAGCATGGTCAGGTCAGAGCAAACTAACAAACAACATTAACCCACACAGCAAATCTACTACATTTCTCTTGGTCTTGTCCCAGGTTCCACCCATCAGGCCACAGAAACACTCAGCAAGCTGCCAGCACAAAAGTATCTGCCCCGAGAAACCTGGGGGGTTTGGGCTGACAGGAGGGACCCTGACCAGGGCCGTGCCGTGCACAGAGATCTGCAAAATCAATTACTGCATCAGCAAACCAAGCCAGACAAAAAGCAAAACCCCCCAAAACATCCAAACAAAGCATTGTCAACCATTAAAATAATAAAAAACAGGGTTTTTTTGACATAGCTATTAAAGTCAAGTCATTTATAAAACGGCAACAAATGAAGTCCGGTTGCGTATTCTTTTTCCTTTTATTAGACAGGACAGAGAATTTCCTTAAAATGCCATAACAAGTCACAGTGATTTTAGATGGTTTTTGAAATGTAATATATTGATGGGAAATACCTTTAAAATGGTTTGACTTGTGGTTTGTTATTGGGGTTTTTTTGTCACTAGAGATGTATTTGTACCCTGGTCCACCAAACCATCTATCTTAGAGTTTCTTGTTTAGAGAGGACACTATCTTCTTCCTCCAAAAATGAATTTTGTCTCATGATCCTGCAAAATAATCAACCTTACAAAAGGCCTTCAAATGTTATATTTATATATATATGTATGTACATATATATACACACACATACACACATATATATAAATATAGACTTCTATGATTTCTTCCCCATTCTACGCAACGTCTCGATAAAGAGATCAGCAATTTTTATTCTACAAAGAAGCAACACATAAGAGGGCAAAATTAAAGTCTTAAGAACATCATATCCATAGTTCACTCATTACACATAAAAGGAAAAAAAATCACCATGAACAACTGTCTCTGAAGTTTCTCAGATCAGCAGATCCGAGCGTGGAGCAGCCCCGTCCTGGCGCGGGCGGCAGGCTGGGCACGGGGCAGCTGAGCGAGCCCCGCCCGGCTCCCGCTCGGCATTCCTGCGCCTCCTCCTGCCGAGTCGGACGTGGTTGGAATGTACGGAGTTTCCTTAGGAAAGGTTCCCAACAAAGACCTTGCCGTCGGGCCGTCCCCTCTAGGCCAGCTTCAGCGTGCTCACCGGGAACGACGGCATGGTCACCATAGTCACCGGGTTTAGGACCGTCTGCCCGACCAGCTGTGGGTGATGCACCACCTGGGTTCCCACGGCCTGCTTGGCCATCACCGCCGGCTGGCCCAGGCTCGTGGTGCCGTTCACTTGCTGGTGTGAGATGGTGTGAGCGATGTGGCTCACGACGGGCTGGCTGACGGCCACGGGCTGGGGGTAGATGGGCAGCTGCGGGCCCAGGTGGGCCATGTGGTTGATGGTGGCTGGGTGCACAGTGATGTGGCCGATGGGCTGAGCAGCAGTGGTGAGTTGCACGGGGCTGGACGTGGAAGGTGCAATGTGAGCAATGTGCTTGGTCTGTGGACCCTGAATCACGTGGTTGACAGTCTGGATGACCGAGGCGTGGGTGGTGGCGGTGTGGGCGATAACAGTCGATTGCACGGTCGAGGCCGCCACGATGTGAGTCTGTGCGGGGACGATCGCCTGTGGCGGGACCAGTGCTTGTGTCTGGAGGGGGGGCTGGGCGTGGGGCTTCTGCTGGATGGAGAGATGAGGGGGCAGGACCGCGGGGAGGGGGGGAGCAGCATTCGGGGGGACAGCTTTCAGCAGCTCTGGGTGCTGGCGCTGGGTAAGTTTTGGTAATGAGTTCACTGGCCTGTCATCTTCCATGTCTTCATCGATGTTGTCTTCACCCTCTGGAAAACACGAGAGGAATAAACTCCCATAAAAAAGCAAGCAGAGCATGAACTGGACCAACAAGCCTCCCTAAAAAAGGCAGCACTGGCAGAAGAGACAATAGCAGGAGGTGTCGCTGGGCTACAGGCTGGCGGTACAATGGCATGGCTTGGTATGGCTTGGCATGGCACGGCACGGCCCTCTTCTCACTGCCTGTGGGCCAAGGACCTGGAGCCAAGCAGGCATGACAGCCCAAGGCTCCAGCTAGAGCAGGGTGCTCCCAAGAGGCCAAGAGGTCTCACTGGGCAGGTAAGGGGACCACTGCAAGCAGAGGCTAACAGAAAGCACCTGGCTGACCTCTGTCTGGGTTGAAGTGGCTCCTTCTAGGAAGCGGAACAGGGTTTCCTTTCTTGGTGTTCCACTGATTGGCACCACCCTTTCTGCTCCCAGAGCAAGAAGGAAACAGCAATGGAGAAGCATGGTAGCAAGTCCCTCATGTAGTTCTGGGAAATGGACTTTTGTCCAGTGCAGGAACTAAGGAAGCAAAGCAGAAACATGCTGGTCCTGCAGGGCCAGCACAAATACCCTGCACTGCCTGCTCTAGAGCCAGCCATGAAGCAGAGAATAAAAATCCCAGAAGATACAGAAGCAACAGGAACCAGGGAAGATACTTCCCCTTCACAAGCTCTGGTTTGCAGCAACTTGATGCGGTCACTTTCGGCAGAGGCCACTGTGGAGGGAACGGCCAACACTCCTAATGACAAAGCCCTGCTACTCCTGACTTCCATCAGCCTACACTGGAGCCTGTCTGTACGTTCAGAGGTGATAATCCTGAAAACAAGCCTGAACAAACCAGAAACCTCAGATTTTCCCTTCCTGGAACCTGTGGTATCATCTGCCTGGAGTGCGAAGAGCAAACGCTGGTTTGAAGGAGCTGCTGCGATCTGTTATGTGCTGCTACAGCCTCCGTGTCTCTGGAAAGCTCTACACCCACAGACTGCCTGCTCTTCCTGCTGCAGATCCCTGGTGTGGAGGAAAGCATGCACTCTCCTATCTCACAGGAACTTCTCACCGGGAACCGCACATCAGATATCCATTAGTGTCATTTCATCTTCACTAGGAATCCTTCTCATGCAACATGAAGGCTCCTTAAGTTGTTTAAGTGCTCTGGTGATCCTCCCTGTACCAAATCCTTCTTCTCTCTGTGCTGAACACCCTCCCATATCCACACAAATACATCAGAATGTCCAGTTCTAACGAGCAGGGTTGAAGAGCTGTGCAAGAAGAAATCTAAGTTTGGAAAACAGGGATTTATCTCCACGTGAGGAAGTGGCACGTTGGAAGTGCAAACCTGCACTTTTTATCTACCTGACATTGATGCACAAATTTCAGTTTACTTCACACGAGTAGCAATGTGTTTTTAACCAATATCAATCATTACTAACACTCAAAAGCCTTCACTTTATTCTCAAAGAAACCCTGACGCTGCCAAATGAAGATCCCCACTACCCCTAAGTAGCTGTGTCAGTGACTTCCGTGGTGATTACAAGGAGAGGAAAAACTATGGGTACCTGATGCTGTCGAGGTAGATGCCTGGTCATCCTCTGGCTGAACTGTCTGTCGAATAATTCTGTCAATCTCCAAGATGTCCATCCACTGGCTCAACTCGTTCTTCAGTTCTGCCAGTCGCTGCTGGGTAGCGATTTTCTCTCTCGCCAGCCGCTCCATCTCATGTTCATATTCTTTTTCCTTCCTCTTTAAAGTCTAGAAACAGCAGGAAGAAAAAGAAATATAATGTGAACAAAGACAAGAATAGTCCACACTAACCTGGTCACTCCCATGTCCACAGCTAATTTTCTTATATTGCCAGTTACGCTGGTGTAAAATGTGTTCAGCTACACTTACACCTGCCAAATTCAGGCAGAAAGAGAAGGACAAGAGCTGGCACCTGAAGGGTTGCTCTGGTCAAATGCTTTCTGCCTGCTGAGGGAAAACTGATGAGCCTCAAAACCTGAAACACTTAGAAGGAAAGGAAAAGCACAAGTACTGATGAGCTTCTGAGCAACACACACCATACCAAGAGCCCCTGACCTAGGAGAGATGGTGAAGAGCCAACAACCCCCTGCATCACAGAGGAATCCTGAGGTCAGGCATGAAGGAACTGTGTATGTTCCCCTTTTCCTGCTTAATGCCCCCTTGGCACTGGGAGCTGCTCATCAGTCAGTACAGTATAGGGAGATGCCCCGTGCTGCTGCTGGGAAATATAAATCACACAGACTGGAAGGGGACCAGCTACGGAGAATGCAGCAGAAAGCAACAGCTCGTCTTCACCAAAGTATGTGTTGATGAGTTTAAGCCAGCGGTGCAACACTGCACAGTCACAGAGAACACGGCCCCCAGCCCGGGGCAGCTCTTACTATTGCATCAAACAGGCACAGTAAGTGAAATCTGTAAAACCACATATAGACTGTCCGTTTTCTGGAGTTGTTTCACCCCTCGGAATTTAAATCCCACACACTCCTGAAAATACCAGCCACACAGAGCCTGCACAGATGCTCCTGTTCCCTCACTGCTGGCAAGCACTGAGCTCAAAAGCAAACCCCACAGCTGGCAGAGGACCAGGCTCACGGTCTTCTGAACACGTGCTCTTTATTTGTCTCTAAGGTTCTCCAGGACAAGTGCAATCACAACCTGACCTTATGCCTTTCAATGGTTCTGCTGATGCTGTAGATCAGAAGGTTGCTGGGAAGGACTTTAAAGCCTGTTCAGCCAGGCCTTTAATGCAGCCTAAGCTGACACACAGACTAGGGCAGCTCCTACCGCTACCTTTGTCCTGGTAATAGCAATAAAGGAAGTATTTTTAAAACAGCGAAACAAAGTGTGTTAGCAGGGCACAACCACTGCAGGTGTGTCAGTGGAGACAGTTCCTCTGCCTCCCGGCCCGGCTGCCTTCAGTTCAGCTAAAAGCCCCTCAAAACAGAGGGTTATCAGGCAAAGGGGGCAGTTCTCTCCCTCCTGCTGCTTTCCAAACCAAAGCAAGCAGCAGATGCCAACTCACACACTTCTGTCCTGGGCAAGCCCAGCAGACCTGCAGCCCACCACAGGAAGGGGGTCATAGGGATGGCAGGGGAGGGGGGACAGGGTCCTGGCTCTCTCTGCACCAGCCCTGACATTCCCACATGGCTGAGGCCCTAATCCACAGACTAGTTTTAAAGTCTCTTTCCCTACCAAGTGCAGCCAAAGCATTTTTGCCTGACCCAGAAAACAGTTGTGTGCTCTGATTCCCAGGGAAGGGGGTGTGGGTGGGACACAGAGCAATGAGGAAAGTGCACACTCCTGCTCAGGTTTGAATATGCAAGAAGATAACTTGTCTGAATGTCTTCCCCCTCACTATGTGATCAGGAAAGAGGCAAGTAGGAGAAAGGTTGAGGCTAAACCTGATGCGCAGACATGAGCCCAACCCCACTCTGCAGCATCTCCCAACAGCTGCAGGGCACAGGAGGACAGAACAGGAACAGCTCTCCAGGAGGAGTGAGCACGAAATCCCTGCAGCCTCGGTGCCTGCATCGGGCACAGCACACGCATACTCAAGCAGATTAGACTTGGCTTCACTCCCCGCTGCGAGAGGAGACTCCCAGCACGAGGGAAAGCATAACTATGAGATATGAGCGGGGCAGCTGGTAATTAGTTATAAACTTTTAATTACTGGGAAGGCAGGCAAACCCTTAGGAAGCACCAGGAGGAGTCTCCCAGCAAACAGAGCCAGGGAGCTCACTCTGTCGCTCTCCAGGCGCTCCACAGGCTTTGGGATGTGGCTCTGGTCCAAGCCCAGCCCTGTGGGCTCTGTCTCCAGCACAGGCAGCCCCAGCCCTTGACCGGGCACCAGCTCCCGCCTGCCCCTCGCTCCTCCCAGGGCTCCCGCTCGGCACTCACGGCTGGGCACTCTCCAAGGGGAGCTGCCAGGGAGGCTGGAGGAGCAGATGGGCTGGAATCCCTGCTGGCACTGGTAATCTTTCAAAAACTATTCTGGGATGCAATTCACTGGGGCTCACTTGGTAAAGACGGATCTCCAGGCTGAGCTGCTCTGGCCTAATAATGAACTGGGTGTGATTAACCAGAGCCTTCCTGCCTCTCCTGCAGCTCCCTCCGAGCACTGCCCTGCTCTCTGCGGGTACCCATGGATGCAGCTCCTTCCCAGGCTCCACAGGGATGGGTGTGTGCCCTGCACTGGGAGCTGAGTCTGGGAGCAGGAATGGCCCGGGTCTCACTGCAGGAACAGGCACTCACTGAGGGACAGGGAGCAGGGACCCCCTGTCTCTGTATTTCTTCCCACTGCAGCCAGTATGGAAGAGGGCGGCTGAGTGTCTCCCACGTCCCCTCTGACCGGCAGCCCCAGGGACACACAGCTCTCTGGGTATCTCCCTGATGACAGATTATTTTCTGCAAATCATCCTGGCCACATCAGGTGCCAGGATTTCCCGTCAGTCAGCAAAGTCCACAGAGACAGCCAAACCTTAGCCATTGGGACTGTGGTCACCAACCTGCTGCTGCACAACAAGCACCTTTAGAGACACCCACTGACCCCCAATAAACAAGAATTTCTGTCAGCACCATCACCATGGATCCTATGCAATACAGACACAATAGCTTTAAAATAAGAAGTAACCACACATCATTTCCCCAGACACAAGCCTTTGGGATTTTCCAACAGAAAGGGCAGGTAACATTAGTGTTGAAATAGGCAGAGGGTCCCTGAAACTACAAACAACACAATCACTGAAGAGTTACATTTTGATAAAAGAATTCTTACAAATGCCTGACCACCTGTCCTTCAAGGTGTGATATTTCATTAAGGCAGAGAGACCTGGGACAGCTACAGGGCAGGAGCTGCCGTCCAACCCACCTCCACAGCCACCAGGAAGGGCCACAGTGAGGGTTCAGGTCTGGTGCTGGCACCTGGGATGACAGTTAAGCTGCCTGCTAAGATCCTGAAGGACACATGCTTAACCTGGCTCATGAAATCCTGACCCTGTTTCTTCAGGGTGGAAAGGTCACCTAAGTTACCTGCATTTCTGTTTCCCCACTTCCTTTGAGAGTGGTGAGGCTGGGCTGGCCCCAGGAGCCCGAGGAAGGTCGGGGTGCCCCTGGCAGCTCTGTTCTGTTTGCACAGGGCAGTGGGGGACACCTGACTGAGCACAGCTTGTGTGCACCACGGCAGCGCCAGTTCTGCAGAGCACAAGAGCCCAGCCCAGCCCAGACTGCTCTTTGCAAGCACCAAGCTCCAGCACAGACTCTCTTCCTTACGTCTGTGGTGCAATCATTGTAACAATTCTCTTTTTCCTGTTAAGCAATTGGGAACCCCGGTTGTCCAGGCAACTCTTACTCTGCAGTGTGAGGAACCTATAGAAGCTACCACTTTAGAACTCTTATTTTTCACCTCTACACACCTAAAAACATTCCACATGAGCATCACCTAAAAGTCAGTAAACCATGACCCAGTTGAGGGGGAAGCTGGGCTACCCCAGGAAGGAATCAGGGATTTCCTCATACTCCCATGAATCCATCCATGTGCATTCCTACTTTGAATCGTACTAAACTGCCTGTGGAGTTCCTACAACAACCACTTGCCCCAACCCCATCCGACCTGCTGCGATGGAGCAGCATGAAAGTGGGAAAACCAGGAGCCAGTTTCCCTGGTATGAGGCTGGTGTCCCCACCCTCTGCAGCGACGCCTGCACTTGCCAAGGTGACACATCTGCCACACTCTGCCCGCACAGGACCCACTCCTGCGCTGCAGACCTCCCAGATCCCCCGGCCCCCGTCCCTGCTGATGCCAACCAGCCCCTTGGTCTGCAGGAAGCAGCCATGTGAAACCCCGGCTGGTTGCCACAGGAACCAAAGCCATGGTTTCCATGGCAACTGCTTCATTCCGCTGGCTCTCCGAGCTGAGATCCCGCAGCAGTGCCGGATGTGCTGGCCCGGTACCGCTGACAGTGGGAAAATACAGGTTGGACACGACGGCAGCACCGCAGAGCGACGTCACCGCCCCGCTACAGTCACCACCCGCAGCCACGCCGACTGCAGCCTCTGCTGCCCCACAGGACCACGGCCCTGCTTTCCCCAGACGTGAGGCAAAATTTTGATGGGCTCAACCCAAAGCCCTGAGTCATTAAAGGACCGCACTCAGCACTGGGGGAACAGGGCGAGGGTCCTGCCATGACCGGTGCCCAGTGGACTAGGACAGGGGAGGCGCAGACAAGGACTCCAGGTTCCTGGTGTTCATGCCCTGGTTTCAACCTCCCAAGATCTCAAACTCCACACCAGCACCAAAACCAAAACAAAGCCTGCAGGGTGAAACACAGAGCCTCGCTCCCTGTCAGTACAACACCCACCACCCTGCAGCCAGGCCATGGGTGTTTCCCAGCAGCCTCGTGACCCAGCTCCTCCACGTGTTCAACGTGTTCAGCCAGCGGACGGGGACGGCAGAGCAGGAGCACTGCTGTGTTCCAGGAGGTGACCTCCTCCTCTCACAGGCATGGGATTTCAGGGTGGCCGAGGATGGCAGAGCAGGAGCACTGCTGTGTTCCAGGAGGTGACCTCACCCTCTCGCAGGCACGGGATTTCAGGACCATCGCCTGCTGCAGGCGCTGCACCCGCTTCCAGCAGGTCCCAGGGGAGTGGGGCTGGACAGGGTGGGCACCACCCACCACTGCTCAACCTGGTTGCAAGGGCAGGGATGAACATCTAGACAGAAATACTTCCCA